TAGTTTAACATAATGCTAAAACGAAACAACTGTTATGCTGTTATCTGAAACATTTTGCTCTAGCGCGGCAGCTGTTAGGTGCCTGCCTTAACATACTGTACACAGTTCGGGCTACTGTGTGGACTTTTGTGGATTTTATGTCAGCATTTTAATTAAGCGAATTCAATTTGCATCTTTAATGTCAATTGGACGTGGGCTAAGTGAATTTCGCGCATAAATGCCGTTATATGATGAATGTCCGCTGCAGGGTTTGCTGCACATGCGGCTTGCGTTGGTGGCCCGCAGTCAAGTGATTTTCGAACAGCACCCAAAGGTATGCTACAAATTATTATATCGCCAGGCAAACAAGCGGAAACACACACGCACACGCACACGCACACGCACGCATTTACGGTTCCGGTTGCTGTTGTTCAGGCGCTTTGTGGCGACATTAGCATTGAGCAAATTGTCAATTGAATTGTGCCGCATAATTGGAATATTAAATGTTTACAAAATGCAATATACAAATACACGAGGCACTAGCTACACTCCACAGCAACAACAACAACAACAATTGCAAGGTTCAACAATTGCGACAATGCTGCAATTTGCACTTAAATGCACACGCACATGGGCATAAATCAAACAAGCACAGTGAGCACATGAAACCCAGCTTTGAGCCACGCCCCACCTCCCACTGCTTTCACACTGTTTGCCTGCCATGTTTAGTGGCCTGTTTTCAATGATTTGCATTTGAAACAATGACAGCATTTTGATAGCTTACCCCAGAAACCCTGTATCAAGTGGCAGCCAATGCTGCTGCTATTTGCCAGGTTGTTGATACCCTGCCCAGTGGACACTCAAGTGTGTGTGTGTGTGTGTGTGCGTGTGTGTGCTGTGAGTGGCCATCAGGCGAACCAAATTATTTGCCAATTGTTTGATTTTGTTGTCGTTTTGATAGCTGCGGCGCGTCGCTTTATCATTTGTTATTGATATTTTTATTGTCAAGTGCAATATGTCAACAATATTTAAATAGCAAACAACAACAATAACAGTAACAAGCAACGGCAACTAGCTCATAAATATTAACACTTGATAATGGCTGCATTTTTGTCACATTTCAGTTCAAATGCAGGCGAGAGGCAGATGGACATAAAATATACATGAAATATAATGAACTGCATCTGTGTGCCTGTGTGTGTGTGTGTGTGTGTGTGTGTGTGCTTGTGTGGACACGCCCACTGGTTACTGCCCACATGTGCAGCTGACAAAAGCACAAGCAGCAGTCAACAAACAGCTGCGGCACAAATTGTTCGGGCTCTGCCCCAAAAATACAAAAGAAGAAGAAAAACAAAAATAAAAGAAAAATAAAAACATAAAAAATAAAATGAAATAATATATATATATATATATATAATATCTAGAGAGAGCGCAGGAATTTTTCGGTTTAGTTTTAAGTTTTTTTGGCCGGCAGCGTTTTTAAGTGCGGATATTTTATGAATTTTATACGCTGCTTGACCTGCCGGGGCCAGGCCAGGCAGTGCCTGCCCCGTCCAGCTGCCTGTGCCACGTCTCTCTTTATCGCACGCCTCCACACCACCCGACGCGTCCCGCCCGAAAAATGCTTCACTTACTGTTATTGTGTTTGCTTTGGGCTTCCGTTTTTTGGTGGCGCTGCTGCTGCCACATCTTGTCGCAACTCTTGTTGCCGCTTCGGTTATTTTCTGGTCATTGTGCGGCTTGTTTACGCAGTGGGCGTGCCCGCACCCGCACACCCACAGCCATAGACAGTTGCGCCCGCAGGGCCGCATCTCTGGGGCAAGTTAGTGACACTCAATTTAAATTTATGCCGGTTTATAATCATTGCCCGCCTGTCATAAAGCCGTGAAATACTCTTCGCCTGGGCTACTCATGCTCCCTCGCTCTCGCTCTCGCTCTCTGACTTGCTCGTCTTTTTTTGTTTTTGGTTTGCTGAGGGTTGTGCACAGAATTGTGTAAACTGTTTAGCAGTTTACCGTTCGCAGGTCCGGGCTGCTCAATTAAATGATAATAAGGCATTATATCAGCAGCTTATACCAGCACCTGATGAGCCGCATTTGAGTCTCGTCTCTTCTGTTTTTTAGCTTTTTGCGCCCAGATCTCTTGCCATGATTTATAGCTGTCTCTCTCTATCTCTCTCTCTCTCTCTCTCGCTCTCTCTGTGTGTGTGCAGGTGTTGATTTCAGCAGCCAAGCGATGCGTAGTTTGCAGTTTCTTCAGTCATAATTAGTTCAACTTTTCCAGCAAGCATTAAAAACTTGTTTGTGCCAAAAAAAAAAGGGAAAAAGCTCTTCAACTTTGCCACCCAAGTCCGAAAAGTTGCCTCAACTCTAGCGCACACATAAAGCAGTCAAATTTGTAAGCATAAGCATAGTTATTGACATTTAAGTCTGCAGCTCAACTTCTTCCACGAGCTACGAACACAACACAATGTTTCAAGTTAGTTTTCGTTGTCTTAAAACTATATTTCTTGATTTTATTTAGAATACATGCGACAAGATGCTCAAATCTAATGAACAGCAATTCAATGGGGAGTAGTCGACTGCAAGATACGCTGACCTCTGCGAAGATCACTTATTTTATTATCATTATTACGCTTATTATCATCACAACTCTTCATTATGTTTAGCATGATGTATGATCATCACAGAGATTATGATGATCATCATTATAATAGTGATTGTTTATGATGATCATTATCATTTTCATTATTATGAGCATCACTAAGATGATGATTATGAATCTGATTATCAGCAACTTCATCGTTTTCTTAATGATCATCATCAATAATAACTTCATTATAATTTTCATCATAATTATAAATGTAACTATTATGATTATGATTATTAACATTATAATTAAGATTATTAATATTTTTAACATAATTATTATGAATATAATAATGATCATCATTATAAGCCTCGCTTAATGATCATTATGATTATCATTAACACAATTTATAAGATGATCATCATTAAAATATCGAATATGATTATGATAGAAATGATTATTATTCTTTTGAACATGATTATTATAATATTCATAATGATCATCATTAACATCATCATTTTTATATAGATAATCATAGTCATTATTATTATAAATATAGTCAACATTATCATTATGATCAATATCATAATGGTCTTTACTCTCATTATCATTATTATCACATGCTTGGCCCATTAACACTTTATATCCACCTGGACACGCCCCCTTCCAGTCAGCTCCTACAACTTGAATTTGCTTTGCCAGAGGTAAACATTTTCATTATCTACTCAATATGTACTTTGTGACGATATATTGACATAAATGTAAAGTAACTTTTCAGCTTGTATTGTTGCAGTTGTTCGCTTGCAGCAGCAAATGAAGTTTAATTACCAAGCAATGATTAAGTTACCCATGCTCGAGCCTAATTACATGTGAGCGAATGACAGGACTTAAGTGAATTTCTGCCTTAAATCAATGCTACTTCAAACACGCACTCACACTTGGACACCCACGCACACACGCACACTTTGCTGCGGGCTAGCAAACTTGCAACCCTTTGGCGCGCAAACAGCCCCAGCAGCCGCGCCCCACCGCAACCCCTGGCCGCCCGCGCCTCAATTTAAATTGCGGCCATTTGGCCACTCAACGTTTAATGAGCAACAAATGTAATTTATTTATGGCGTCCACTGTTGAGGCCTTTGCCTCAGTTTCAGTTCGCAAAATGCTTCAAGTTTTCAGCACAATTACCATAAGCACACACACACACACACACCCACACACACACGCGTGCACACATGGGTCAGATAGAGCGAGACAGTTAGTGCGAGAAATGCTGTGTAAATCGCTGGCCACTTTTAGCTGGCAGTTTTCTCAATGGCATCTCACAAGCTATCCCACTCGCACTCGCTCTCTCTCTCTCTCTCTCTCTCTCTCTCTCTGGCTGTGTGCGCAAAGTGTTGATATTTATGGATCATTTGCATATGTGTGCCAATGCAGAAGGGGCAGGCAGCTTTCTTTCCTGCCACGCTTGGCCAGCAGCAACAATGGGGCAAAAAATGTTAACTGGCGAGACAGTAAAGCATTTGCTGCCACTTCCGCAGCAGCAGCAAGAGCAGCAAGAGCAGCAGGCGAGAATGTTGGATCTATGGAGCTGCTTTTGAAAGTTGTCCAGTTGCGGTAAACATAAATTCTCGTTGACACGTTAATATTGTTCCCTTTTGGTTTTGTTGTTGTGCTTGGCACAGGCCAGGCGCACATTACAGCTGCTGCTGCTGCTGCTGCTGCTCCTGCTGCTGCAGTCAGCTACTGCTATTTTGCTGAAAATGTCCAACAAAAGCTTAAAAACATTTAAAAGGGATTTATAGACATTTGGGGAATATGCCAGACAGCTGGACAGCCAGACAGACAGCACACACACCACACACACACGCAGTGGCTGCTTTTAGATGCTGGCCAAGTACTGTACAAGCCAGCCACAAAAGTCATTAAGCCACACAGAAAGTGAGTGAGTGTGAGAGAGAGAGAGAGAGAGAGTGCGAGTGAGAGATGTGGCCGAAAACAATAACAATTTTCGAGCTCAAATCTAATTCATGATTTCATTACCAAGGGGCGCGCCCATTTTGGCAACTTCTTAGAGTAGCGCAGAGGAAATCATTTCCTGTTTAGCACTCAATGCTGGCCACCCACGCCCCACCGGTTCCGCCCACTTCTCTCTCTCTAGGCAGTAAGCCCGTAATTGTCTTTGGGCCTTTTTTTACGGCCCAGTGATAACAACTGAAAGTGTCACTATCGACAAAATGAAAAGCCATTAAAGAAAATTACCCGAGTTGACATTGAGTTTTCCAGGCATTAAATGGCACGGCTGAAAGCGCCTATGAAGTCCTCAATGTCCTGCTAATCACATGCCCTGTGTGTCGTTCTCAAATTGAATTGCTTTCTGAGGCTCACCCCGACCACTAAAGCCAACAACAACAATTGTTGCCTGAGATTTTCCAGTCATTTGTTGTCGTGTCGAGTCGTGCCGCTCGGAAATGAATCAGGTATGGCTGCTCTTCAAGATGCTGGAGATATTGGCTGGCTGCGTCTGCACATACGTGCACACTGTTGCCGCGCTGAACCTCGAGGAGCCGATGAATCACAATTTGTTCTTGTGTGGCACCTTTGCCAGCTTTACGCTGCTCGCAGCGATCCGTTGCATACGGATCGGGATGGGACTGCGCACGCTGCTGCGCTCCCTGCTCTTTCAAAGCATCTTCGCCACCGTCATGCACTTCCTGTGCTCTTTGGTAGCCATGAACTACGCAGAGAACGACTTTCACTTGCAGTTCATGAGTGACGTGGGCGAGGCGCAGCATCTCTACTTCAGATATTGCCGCTTGCAGAGCATCATTTCCCTCATCACTGGCGGCATCTATCTGATTGAGTGCATCCTGGTGCTGGATATTATTGTGAAGATACCGCAGGCGGATCATATGCCCTTGAATGTTGTCACCGAACCACCGCAGAAGGAGGAAACCTGGCAGCACATGACCAATGACGAGCTCGATACCTGGGCCAGAATATCGGCCGACATTTTCTTCCTGGGCAAAGACTTCGACTTTTGGCTGCGCGTCAACTGCAAGTGGTTTCGTCGAATAGCTGGCAGCCAGGAACTAATTCTGTTCCCTGAGGGGTGTACGGAATCCGATTCTGTCGATATGCAGCAGACCTACACACACGAAATACTTGGCTGATAACAAATCTGGGCAAATCTGAGGGGCAGCTGTTGGTGACGACGATGATGGTCGAACTGATGCATCACATTAGAATATCTGAAGTCACGGCTCTATACAACACGAGTCTTCAAACAAGTTGCCACGACTCAGCACGACTCAACATGACTGTACACGAACTAACACAACTATACACGACTTAACAAAGCTAAACATAACTACAAGTAATTCTAGTCCAAGCTGACTCAACGCGAACTCAGCCAGTTGTCACACGACTCAGCACGAACTAAAGACGAGCCTTGAAGTGATTTCTCACGCCTCAATACATTGCAATGCTTCTGCATACGAACCATACGAGCCACATGATCCACACGATCCACACGATCCGCTCAAATACGTTTTCTCCCTCTGTCGCTTAAAATTTGAAGTTCGTGTTTATGGTTGAGCATCGCTTCGGTTCATCGGTTCATCGGCTCTTCGGCTCATCGCTAGCTCATAAATACATTGTCTGCAATTTTTATTTGAATTTATGCCTTAAATTTCAGCTCGAATTCTCATATATTGCAATGAGTTAGGCACACACGCACACACACACACCTATGTATACGGCATTTATATTTATGGTATGTCTGGCAGTCGCTCGTGCCGCCCAGAAATTGCTGTCACATATCCATTTCATGCATTTGACTGCCCAAATTGTCAACTTGACATGAAATTAGAAAAGCGCAAAGCATTTAAACATGCTCCAATATGCAAATGAAAATGCTCAAAGAAATATTTGTATACCAGATACACACACACACATATATATATATATATATATATATATATATATATATATATATATATATATATATATATATATATATATATATATATATATATATATATATATATATATATATATATATATATATATATATATATATATATATATATATATATATATATATATATATATATATTTATGCCAGATATATATAAATTTTTGCATGAATTTTATATTGTGTATGTCTGCGTTTTAAGGCCACAAACTGCTGTGATGACTGCATAAAATATTAAAAAATCTAATTTCCAAGTTTTCTTGCTTTTCCCAAGCTGACACGCCCCTTGAAAAAAAGAAAAAACAAAAACGAAATGCCAAGCAGCTCGTCAGCCCGTCCGCCTGCCCGCCCGCCCGTCCGCTCGCTTTGCTTGTAATTTGTATAAGCTTTTTAAGACCGCCAAATGCAAAAATCGCTGGCTGAATGTCGCTTCTGTCGCTTCTGTCCCATCTGTGCCTCTGTCCCATCTGTGCCTCCGTCCCGTCTGTACCTCTGTACCTCTGTCTGTCCCTCTGTTTGCCTGTCGGACTGTCTCAAATCTCTTGCAGAGCGCTGACAGTCGCTCTGGCAAAATGAAATAAAAATATGCATGTTAAATAAAATGTCAACGAGAACGCCATTTAAGGGCGTGGCTGATGGGTGGGGAGCGTGTTGTAAAGTGAGCAAGATTCATGTCAACTGAGCCAAATACGGCAACAAAAGGCATTTAAAATGGTTCCTCCACTGCAAAGAATAAAAAAACATAATGCGCATAATAATCAAGAAAAGCCATTGCAAAGAACTTCACAGTTCCCAAGGCTACCTCGGGGCTAGTGTACTTACCTAACTAGTTAAAGGCCATTCAAATTGTAAGGGCATTGCAAAAAGACTCTTGCCAGTTGCCTATGGAGCAAGTGAAGGTCTGCCGCTGAACTGGAGAGTGAAACTTCAACTTTATATTTTTACATAAGTTGCTGCTCTCATCATATTAGCATCACGAACAAGTGTCCTAAAACGAACCACTAACAATGCTGTATACTTGAACGTGAAGTTAAGGGCGGTCTTTGATCAATCTTGGAAATGGATAACAAAATAGATTCCTCTGCCTATTTGCAAGCGCCAATTGGGGCTGCGGTGAAGCGGCGTAAACGGCTGTGTAGTGGGAATTCTGAATTTATATATAATAATTTTGCATCTCATTGATTCACCTAGAATATTATATATACTTCCTTTGTAGGTTTGGTTAGTCGGCTAAGAGAATTGGAATCCCAACGTCAAGACGATTGAAACCCATATGAAAAACACTTGTGGCCTATGCTCAAATTTCACACCGTGGGAAACCATGGCAATAGCTGTAAGCTATTAAATAAGAATTTTAAATAAAAGGCGTCGCACGTCGGAGCGACTAACAGTTCAGCATAAAGTGTAGTAGTTGCTCATGCATTGCAGCACAGATCGTTGCAGCTCTGTCATCTGATAGCAGCTCACATCTCTGCTCTCAATCATCTGCTGCTTCGAAGCCCCCACCAGTGGTAAGATGCTCAGAGCAGTGCAGCATAGTTTGCTGCTGCTCACGCATCTGAGTTCTTATTGACTTATTTCTATATGCTTTGCAGCTCTGATATCAATATTAATATTTAAAATAAATACGCTACGTTTTGCTGCTCTCGCATCTAAGCAGCTTGCAGCTGAAGCCAGGATTTCTGGCCACTAAGCTAACAACTTAAGCTTTGGGCTAATCTATTTTGCATTGCACTCTTTTGGCAGATACTAGGAATATTTAAGTGTCTTTTAGCCATAAGCATGCGTAAGCTCATTAGCCACGTTTTAGTTGAGGTGCATTTGGCTGCTGGCACAAGGTGCAACTTAAAGCAATCCATCGATTATCAGTTTCCGACTGAAGGCAATGCCAGATATGCCGCAGCAGCCAAAGACTTAAGTGCCTGTCCCCTTGCCCACTCTCCTTCTCTTCCTCTCTCTGTCGCTGTCGCTCTCGCTCTCTCTCACTCTTCTCTGTATGTCTCATTCGGCGTCATCCATCTTTTGTGTGCCAAATGGCACTCGGCAAAAGTTGCTGCAACCACTTCCGGCCATGCAATGGACTATTGGCCAACCCTTCACCAACTCAATTGCATCTTTTGTCTGCTCTTCCTCATTCGCTGCAAGTGTGTGTGTGCGTGTGTGTGTGTTGCTTTAATTGAATTGCTGTAAAAACGCGGCACAAATTATTGACTTCAAGTGGCAGCCAGCCAGCATATTTTCTTCTTCCTGCTTTCATTTCTTCTTTCATTTTGTTTTCTTTGCGTCTTTTCTTTCTCTTTCTTTCCTTTTTTTGTTGGCAGCCACAAAATTTTTCCATAATTTGAGTGGCCTGTAGCTTCAAGGAGTTTGGCGAGCCAAAAAGCTCCCCAAAGTTTTCCATCAAAAACGTTTAGAATGTTTTTTCCTGTTGCCTGTTGGCGCACACACACATGTACACATATCTTTTTTATATAGTCCCCCACATGCGGCTGTCCCCTGTGTGTCTGTTCTGCCATTGCCCGCCACGCATTTTGCTATTGTTCAACTTTGCTCCCCGCTCCACGCGGCCCACTCCGCTCGGCTCCTCTGCTCGACGCTCTACTCTCGCCTCGTCAACTCTCATGCTCATGCCCATGCCCTAACCTACTTTTGACTTGCTCAATGTTGGCTTCTTTTCAGTGTTTCACCGTTTTGTTGTTGCTGGCGCACTCTGGCTCTGCTTCTTCTTCTGCTGCTGCTACAGCTTTATATTCTCCTATTTTAGCCGTTGCTGTTGTTGTTGCTGCCTTTTTTTGACATAAATTTGAAACTTTTCAGTTTTATTGTTGCGGACTCGTTGGCAGTAATGGATTTCAAATAGAGTTACTCATGGGTAAAATGTTTCATACTTTGGGGTATTAGCAAATCTGCAACTTGACGACGACGACGGCGAGGAGGACGAGGACGACGACGCGACTTTTCATATTAATATGTGACTCCACTATGCGACGCAACTGTACTTTTGTTGTTGTTTAGCTGCGTTTCGATTCCGTTTCGTTTCAGTTTGGCTTTGGTTTTGTTTTCTTTCGTTTCGTTTCGCTTTGCATTTGGCCGTTGCATACTTTTGTGCGCACTAAAAGCCTTAAGTTATTTGTAGCTGCTTGCTGGTCTGCTAATGCACATTTTATTGAAATAAATTCCGTGCCCACTTGAAGATGTTGCTCGCATAGGGTCGTGGCTTTGGCTGCGGTTTCTTTGGCTGCTGCTGTTTTGTGGCTGCTTTTAGCTGATTTTATGGTCTTCAGAGGCGTCCACTGCGGTGCTGGCGTTGATTTGCTGCGGTCTATACAGCCCAGGGGCCAGTTTATGGCCTCAACTTGGCATTCTCCAACAGCTTAAAGACGATACAGCACTAAAGTCAGCTAACAGCGAACAGTGAACTGCGAACTGCGAACTGCCAACAGCGAAGAACAGCTAACAGCAGCCCAATTCCAAACACACTTAAAAATGCAAATGATATTTACGTTTTCAGCTTCTTCTACTGCTGCTTAAGTGCAAAGTTAAACGACGCCCCAAAGTATGCAATGCTCGGCGTGCTTGGCCTGCATTTTTAATTACGCACTGCAAATCGGTGCAGATAACAGCTGCTTGTTCCTAAGCTTTGGCTTTATCTTTATCTACTTCTTCTTCCTGTGTTTTGTTTTCTTTTTTTAGCTTCTGCTTCTTGAGCACACTCTCAAAAACCGATTCCCATAAAAAAATGCATTTCCCTATAGACGAAAGAGCTGCCGACAAGGAGAGACTCAAGTCTCGAATCGTTATACATACAAATGAGTGAGATTATTCAAATGCTTTGGCAAAACTCTTAACATTGGCGATTTGCTGGCGAAAGTGTTTAATGAAGCAGATTATTAGAATCAGAAACAAGTTTCAATTTGCATAACTGGAATCAGTTTTAAGATAAATATTAATGAATCCGATTATCTGCATTTACAATTCAGCCAAAAAGAACGAATGAGCCTGCAAACGGCTTCTAATTGCATTAAAATTCTGGTGGCAAAATCATATTTTAGAGCAGATACTTGGATAACGCTTGTCGCTCGTATATGGGCCACACTTCCGACAGCCAAAACGCGACGTTGGCGCATTTTAATGGCTTTTGTCTTGCCTGGCAGGCAGCCTGCCAGCCAGCACACCTGCCAGGCAGTGGGCGTGGCTTGGTTGAGTTGTGGCATGTGGTGCACGATGCTTTGGGTGGTTTGTTGCATTTCAGTGTCATGCCGGCATTTAATTTCACTCACTGCGAAAATGTTTTATGTCTTGGGCAAACACTTGCCTCGCCGCGTTCGTTTCAAGTGAATTTTATGCGCTGCACGACATTTTTGCAGCTGCTGCTGCTTTGCATTCCTTTTTCTCTAGTTTTCTTTTTGTTGCCAACTTTGGCGAAAGTGAAAGCGCACGAAAAAGACCAAAGAAAGAAGAAGAAATGCAACACGAAATACAACAACAAAACAGCACACAGGTGCAAATTTTATGTGCGCATTTCACACCTGCAGCATCACGTGGCACACACACACACATCACTGGAGTGTAGCGTGTAAAAATTTGCTACTTTAAATGTTGGCCGAGGGACGGGGCAGGCACCAAAGTGCTACAAAATCACAACACAAAAGAATTCAATCAGCAGTGCTTAGCAGGTAGCCCGGCACACACACACACACACATACACACACAGCAGCTATTGCAGTTGCGGTTAACAGGCCAAGCGTAATATAAACTTGAGCTCAAAAGCGAGCAGCATGAAAGGTGGCAAGGGGGCAAGGGAGCTACAACTGGTGCAGAAGTGTGCTTTATGTGTTAACGTGTATGTGTCCATGTGAGTGTGCGTGGGTGTGTGTTGTGATGTGTGCGCTTGGTCCATGCGTGGCATTTATTTTTGCATTTTAACTTGGCAACGAATTCCCCTGTTGATGGCGACGTCGTCGCCGGCAAAAG